TTCAGAGGCTGGCTGGAGGGAGGAAGCATGGAGGCCACAGGGGTTGGGACAAAATGATAAGCTAGGCACAGTTGTGTCCAGACTGTGAAATGGCCCCGTGTCTGGGAGGAGATGGATGCCCCAGATGGGTTCATGGATCCCTGGGGGGCTTCGTGCTCTGTATTCTCTTCCCGCATGGCTCAGCGACAGGCTGGCATATTTCTGCATCAGTTCTTGCGATGCCATGCCTCCGGGCTGGTTGTTAGCAGCAGGGATTGAATCTAGTCGCTTTGGGTCTAAAGACATCACCCGTTATGTAGCTAAAAGGCCGATTCCCCTGCCCTTCCAGGCTCGTCAATACTTATTTGTGGGTTGACTGCCACTAGAGGGAGCCAGGGAACCACGCTGGCTGGGTTACCCACTGCAAGGCTGGCTGAGATACTAACACCCTGAAACTGGACTTGGACACACATTTCCCAAATGGACCAAAACCTCAGAGCAGACCTTGCTCCAAGCCTTTAAAGGTGTCCCCAATCCAGATCCCACTTGTGCTGCTTCTGTCTGTCTCTCCTGGCAAGGAGGTTTAGGGTCACAAGGCAGACTTAGAGGGGAAAATTCTTCCCTCTGTTGGATGAAATCGGAAAAACCTGTCTGTGTGTCATAGGCCCTATAGTGCTAGCAGTCAGTGAGGATCTTTCTGGAGCTCAGGAGGCTGGGCCTTAGGAGCAGGACGATCCCAGAGCAGTTCTATCCCCCTGAAGTGGGCAGTCCTAGGTAGTCGTGGGTTTTTACAACCAATGTTTTGTAGCTTGGCCATGGCTCTTCGACCCTGAGCTGCCTTTGTCTCCTCCCTTTGTTGGTGCTCCTTTTCCATGCCATGTGATGCTGGAGGATGGGTACGGGGGGCTCTTACCTGCGGCACCATGTTTTTGAAGGAGTCCATAATCTTGGAGCTCTTGGCCTCTTGGTAGTAGGAGAAACAGCCAGTGACTATAACGACGGCTGCTAACACCACGCCCAGGTACAGCTGGGGAGAGAAGGAGATTGCTCAGACAGAGGGGATTCCTTCACCTACTGCTGCAATGCAGCCACTGCTGGGGTGGGACATGGCAGCTGCTTAACAGCTGAATAGCGACATTGCCCTGCCATTTAGGACAGGAAGTGACAAATATCTGAGCCTGTGAGGGGCAGTAGGTACTTCCTGGAGCTGGAGTTTGCCCAGGACCCAATGTCTAATACCCCAACTTGCATAACAAGTTGGTTCTTTAACAATGGGAAGTAGTTGGGATTTTGCTTGTGTCTTATCGGGAAGGTGAGGCCTGGGGCAGCAGAGAACTCCTCACCACTGCGCTCAGCCCTAGCTCCATAGGGAGAGCACCCCCTAGTGGAACACTCTTCTCATTCCCTGGAGAATAGCGCCCCCTAGCACACCCTGGAGTAGTGGGGCCAGCGGTGCCAGTGAGGGGAGAGCGCCCCCTACTGAACCTCCTTCCTGCTCACTGCAGCACTTGCAGGTCTGCTGTAGGAGACCAGCTCTGGGGTGGGACAGCTGCCAAGGCTGAGTGGCCCAGCTCATGTTACTGGAGCTCTTATTTAGGAAACAAGGCTGCTGAGTTATTTTGGAAGCTGCCTTTAGGGCAGGGGGACAGTGACCTGTTCCCTACCCATCCCCCAATGTCTGGGTGGGCCCAGTTCAGCCCATCTCCACCTGCCTCGGCCAGGAGGCAGATGCTCCTTACTTGGTCTGGGTTGAGTTTGGTGAATCAAACTCCAGAGCTGCATGCAACGTTGGGGATGAGACCCATGGAGCCTGAGCCCAGCCTGGGTTCTCAGAGATCTCTGGGAGGCTGGGATAAAATTCTGGGGCCCTGCTATGCAAAACCAGGACACCCCTTGGGTAAGACCAAGGAGAGAAGACAGGGAGTTTCAATGAAGTTAGAGGTTTGTTCAACCCTCCCTCCCCTCCTCCCCCGAACTCCAGGTGTGCAGCGGAGAATCCAGATAGACCCAACCCAGAGAGACGGCTTGTTCCCAGCCCTGGAATGCGGACCAGAGTGACTCGGTTTCCCCCGCCCTGCTATGATCCACCCCAGGCCATGTGGCTCACATTGTCATTGGCCGGCTCGTCCTCCATCACGGCCTGAATGCTGTAGGCCAGGAAGCAGAGGATGGCGCCGATCCACAGCAGGATGGAGAAGCCCCCAAAGAGCTGGCGGCAGAACTTGACCCACTCAGGGGTGGTTGGGGGTGGTGTCAGGGCATTGGGGCCGTCCTGCGCCAGGATCTCAGCTGCGCGGGTGTTCGTTAGACCCTGCCCAGATTGGGAGGGCGGCGGTGTTCAGAGGGATGGGAGGGAGAGACAGAGCGATGGAGAACCCAGAGGAATGAGGAAACAGGAGGGAAGGAGGATGGGGGACAGAAGGAAAGAGACAATTATGTCCTGCCAGGATCCAAAGCATCTACAGGCCACACGGCCTCCCCCACTCTCCCATCCTGGGCATATCACACTTTTGGCCCAGATTGGGAGGGCGGCGGTGTTCAGAGGGATGGGAGGGAGAGACAGAGCGATGGAGAACCCAGAGGAATGAGGAAACAGGAGGGAAGGAGGATGGGGGACAGAAGGAAAGAGACAATTATGTCCTGCCAGGATCCAAAGCATCTACAGGCCACACGGCCTCCCCCACTCTCCCATCCTGGGCATATCACACTTTTGGCACCTCCCCCACCACACAATGGAGTTGGGGCGCTGGTCTCCCACAAGCCACAGCTACCCATGGCTTCTCCCCTTGCACCGCAGAGCCCCGGGGCTCCAGTCCT